ACAAGTTTGAAGATCAAACTGCTTAGTTACTTTTTAGAATCTGCAAAATGTTGAACTGCAAATTTACAAAAGAGTTGCATATTCAAAAATAATTTTAAAAAATGACAGAAATTAGTGTTCATACGAGTCGCACATCTTTAGCTTTCACAACCAGTTAATTATTGGCCAACTCAACTTTTGAATAAAGCAACCATTCTCTCAGTTTTCCACAAGCGCTACAGCCGTCTCTCTTTCAATGTTTGCAGTTCCTTTATCTAAAATAATCTGGGACTTTTCCAATTTCTTGCTCAGCAAACTAATAAACAGATTGCATTAGCAGTATTGTCTTGCAAGTGCAACTTATTAAATTTGACTTCTAAATATCTGATTGTATTAAGACACAGATGCACTGGCAGTCTAATGGAATTTCCTCTTTAATGCCTACTTCCTCCAGGGTCTTGCATAAGAACCTAATGTTGATAGGATTAGCCTGAGAGCTAATAGAATCTATCCCTAGAATTGGTCTCCCTGTTGCGTCCGTACAGTTTATTGCATATCTTCTACTTTCCTAACAATGACGCAGTGTGTGTGGCTTCTTCTTCTTCTCATTACTGCTGTACCTTCTCACTCCTAAAAGCATAGCAGTATATTGACTTGTGTCTTGACTTGCTCTCTGTCTCTATTTGTTTTCTAATTGCTCCGTCTTGTCCATCAGGTTGTTCTGGATAACACCGCTCTGAATCGCATTGCCACAGACAGGCTGCACATCCAGAACCCCTCCTTCTCCCAGATTAATCAGCTGGTGAGTAAGATGTCAGTTTCATTTGAGGTTCAGCTAATTGTCTCCAAGGGTGTTTTTGATCATCACAAAACATACAGAAACACGGCGGACTTGAAGAGACGCTCGACAACCACTAAGAAATCACAAACTTGTTTGGTTGGTTAGTTGGGCCTTAAATCTAATTGCTGCTTTCTTGGAACCGTCCCTGGCTTCATGGCAGGATATGTTGCCTGACTGGAAAACTTTTTTTTGTTTCATTTTTCTTAGGATACATGTTTAATTTCTTGTCAGAGCTTTGCATTGAGATGTCTCAACATTTTAGGTTTCCACAATCATGTCTGCGAGCACAACTACGCTACGCTACCCAGGCTACATGAACAACGACCTGATTGGTCTGATCGCTTCACTCATTCCCACGCCCCGTCTCCACTTCCTCATGACGGGCTACACACCACTGACCACTGACCAGTCGGTAAGTAGCTGATATTTCACTAGATGAAATGTACAGCACGAGACGTTAGGATTGAAAGCACTAACGGAGCCACGTCACAGGTTGCTAGTGTGAGGAAGACGACGGTGCTGGATGTGATGAGGAGACTGTTGCAACCTAAGAACGTGATGGTGTCCACTGGAAGAGAGAGACAGCCCAGTCACTGCCACATTGCTATCCTCAACATCATCCAGGGAGAAGTTGATCCCACGCAGGTATGCGAGCTGAAAACAAAAAATGTTATCATTTGTGGCATTTAAAAAAAACAAAAACAAACATTGTTTCTTTAGGTGCATAAAAGCCTCCAAAGGATCCGGGAGCGCAAACTTGCCAACTTCATTCCCTGGGGTCCGGCCAGCATCCAGGTGGCCTTGTCCAGAAGGTCTCCATACCTGGCCTCAGCTCACAGAGTGAGCGGGCTGATGATGGCCAACCACACCAGCATCTCTTCTGTAAGCACTCAGCACAGTCTTACCGTTTCCTACTGTGTAATTATGTGAAGATATTTGAAAATTCTCATAAGGATCTGTTTGTTTTAAATGTTTTTTTTTCCATCCCACTGGTTTAAAAACTGTTAAACTAAAAAATAAATAAATTAAAAAAAAAACGAAAAATTAAACGGAAAGGCAAAACAATTTGCCTTTCTGTAACCATCTGATTGATGTAATCTTAAGTTGCAACAACCACTACTCTTTGCTTCATTAATAAGCCAAAACTATTCCAACGAAGTCCTTATCAGATTTTCTTTCTCTTTAAAGAAGAGAATCAAAACGGAAAGTAGATGTAAAGAAATCTGATAAGGAACTTGAATCCTTCCTGGTTTTAATTATAGTTTTGCCCTCACTCTGTTGCTGTTCTAGCTCTTCGACCGAACGTGCAGGCAATATGACAAACTGCGAAAGCGCGAGGCCTTCCTGGAACAGTTCCGCAAAGAGGACATATTCAAGGACAACTTTGATGAGCTGGACAACTCTCGTGAGGTCGTCCAGCAGCTGGTGGACGAGTACACAGCAGCGACACGACCCGACTACATCTCCTGGGGCACACAAGAGCAGTGACCATTGTTCTGAATTTCTGCACCATAACTGGCTATAGCTGCTGTTCTGACAATTATTTATTAGCAGGTTATAGCATGTAATTATAAGTTAGGAGGCCGTGATTAATGTTAAGAACTTGTATTAACCAAAGTGTTTCCTGGATTGTTATATTTTGGAGATTCATAATCTTAGTTGATGTGACAGTTTTTCTCCTAATGAATAGTTAATTTCGAGTTATATTGCAAGTAATTACAGAAAGCATCAGTTACTGTTGTCTCTAAAACATTAGTTTCCTGTACTGCACCTGTATTTTGCCAATGTTAAACAACTTGCTGCCTTGTTTTTCTCTATTTTTATACAGTTCAGTAGTTTTTTTGTTTTTGGATTTCTAGAAGCGCCCACTACCTATTGGCTGCATAAGAGTGATGGCTAATGTAGGTTTCGCCATACCTCACCTTTCTTACTTCCACGGTGAATTGTACAATCCGTCTGCTGCTGATTCACAATGCTCAAGGTGTCACTGTTCATGACAAACAAGAATGTGGAGCTGTTCTGACTGGTGTCAAAATAACTTCAATTTAAACAGCTTTTGTCTTTTAAAGTAACAGTTTAACAAGCGTAAAGCCTCTAACATGTCTGTAAATAGGCTTCAAAGAATTGCTGGTTCCCTGAGTATTAAATGTATTGCTCCTTATTGCTGTTTGTTGGACCTGTAAGATTAATAAACATGTTTTCTATTACTGTACTTTTCTACCTTCTAAAGGCACAATTGGCTGTATGGAAACATTACTCTTCCTGTTGTCATCTTCAAAGTGATGTAACATTATTTCTCCTCTCACCTGGAGCACAGTGTACCAGCGCCTGCTCATGTAATTCAGCCAAGGATCATTAACTGCGGGGAACGCAATGGCACTTAGCAATGCTTGCTTTAGCTGGTATTGTTTTCACTCTGAACTTTTTAGGAGGAAACTTTAAGATGTACTGCTGGGGCCAGACGGCAGCATTTATCTACAAAAACATGGCTTATTACAAAAGTGTTTAAAGGGGGATATTATGTACTTTACAGGCACAGAGTGCCATTTTATAGTACCATCAAGAAACTGTTGCGTTCAGTTATAAAATTCTGCATATTTCAAGCACAACTTAAATTTGAAATTTGCCTTTCTGTAATTTCAAAACAAATTACTATCATGGCTGTGGCTCAATCAAGTAACTTATTGCCTTCAGTTATGAAATTGCTGCATACGTCAAACATAACTTAATAGAAATTTGACTTAGCAATTTGACCACTGTCTCTTTAAGAAGCTCCTACTCTTTATGACAACACCTTCGCAACAATGCTCCCGTTTTGCTGTTTACAACCATTCTTGACGGAAAGATAGTTTGTAAGATAAGCTCAGCAAACTCACAGTTCCACGAGGTGTTTGCCAATTGCTGCTGCCGCTAGTCTGAAGGAGCCGAGTGGGGAAGACATGGGGGAAGTTGGAGACTGGAGCTCCAAGGAAAAGCTTGTGGAAATGGGCAGCCCTTTGTAAGTATAATTGATAAGGCGGCCTCCAGTAGCTACCAGAAATAGTCAATATTTCCTCAAACATTCAAGAAGTGATCAATGAAACATTACTAGTATGTCTTTGAAGATGTTCTAACCATATACAAAGCTCAAAGTTGATTTTACAGAACATTTTCAAACATTTTACACAAATTCCTCCCCCAACCTCCTTTTAGGAAGTGAAGCACCATTGACAATAATGTAAAATGGGTATTTCTTTTATTAATTACAGTATTTATAGTTTTTATTGCACTCCCAAATTAGTTAAAAATAGTGCAATTAAATATACACATTACATAAAAAAGGTACCATGCAGCTTACAGACAAACTTAATACTAAGCAAGGACATCCGCAGTTTTTTTTTTTTTTTTTTCCTTTACATATATCTAGCTCGGAGCTGCCTGCAGCTGCAGTGGAAAAAGCTAAAGACCTGCTTCTGAACCAGGGGTAGCGCAATGACTTGTCAAGGCCTTTCGTGGTGTAGACACAAAAGTGTTCAAACTGGTTATATTTCTAGTGTAGCAGACATGAATTTAGGATTATCCTTACAAAAAAAAAATACAACAGGCTCTTGGAAGACAAACATATCTAAGGATGATTAGGGATTCGGTCTGCGTTTGTTGGATTTTTCTTCTAAAAGCTTATAAAAAAATATTAGTCTTTGGTCCAAGTTTGGCTTTTCAAGGAAAACTAGAAGAAAAACAGGAGCCAGAAAGAATTAACAGCAGAACCAATCAGACCTATGGTCCTGGTCACTTAGAGAAAACTTAATGTAAAGATAAGTCTGCATCTACATTTAAGACAAGTTAAAAAACAAAAAAAATCTGCATAAATAATACAAAAGCATCCGCATGAGAAAAGTCTTTTCTTGAATGCCGGGCGACATGTAGGGCACTGCATGGTAACGGTTGGCATGGCGAAAGCTTTGTGGTGTTCCTTCTTTTAAATAAACAAAGAAGCACCTGTTATCTTCAGCAGAAAAGTCCTGCAATGGGTCAGGTGTTAGGTGTTCTCCAAGTTTCATGTCCAGGACCACAGCCAAGACAAGCAGCTCAACAAGAAGGGAGGAAATCAGTGCATTTGGTGGCAATGTGTTAAAAACAGCTCGAAATATCCTTTGATTTCTTTATAAACCTGAATGCATCATGAATGAAATGTTTTTTATTTTTAATGTGATCAGATTGACACCCTGGCAGGAGGCTGTGCAGTTACTGCAGCCAGAGTGACTCAGCCGCAGAGCTCCAACATCTGCTTCCAGTTCCAAGTTCACATGGCCTCTCTGCATCAACAGTTCTAGGTAATGGAAGCCCAGCCGGGATCTTATGAAAACTGACTGATGAAGAGCAGGGGGCAGTCAGGGTGTGTGTGTGTGTGTCACTGAAAGTTCTCAATACTTTTCCAGCAGTGCACGAGGGACGTCTGCCTTCTAGGAAAGGCAAATCCAATATGGCACCCACAGCGCGAGAGAGCGAGGGGAGAGGGTAGTGTTTTCGCTCTGAGCTGGGGCTTTATGAGGGTAGCTCCACGGCTTATGATCACTGCAAGTCTTAATGTTTGCGGTGGTAGTAAGGCTCACGCCAACATCTCGCCAAGGAGGGTGCGGTACAGTTGGGGTTGGGTTTATTGCCGTTTAGAGTAGCAAAGATGGATGAATGGTGGGAAGAGCGGGTGGGAGGTGCAACACCTCATCAGTAACTGGCTTTTGTGCATTTCCAAGCATTCCCTTGCACCGTATCTCACGCTTTTCATTTTAAGAGCAGCTTCTTTAGCTGGAAGTCCCAAGGAAAGTTTGTTTTCATAGATGGGGACGGGAAACAGCCCTCTCTTTGTATTGGCTGCAGCACCGTTCCCAGTGGAGGAGGCCGAGGGTCTTCAGGACTAAGCCTGAACCTCCCCATGGGAAGGAGGACGGTGTGAGGGGGTGTGGGTAAGAGTTCCTCTTAAACGGGGTGAGAGGGCAGCTCCAGAAGCGTGGGGGTCGGTGTCGGGGCCAGGTGACGGAAGCCCACGTCTGTGCTTTCGGTGAAGGTTATGGTGTCTGCATCCTCTCCTTTACCTCGCTGGCGATGGATGGCACTGAAATAGGCGTTCATGAGCTGCATGATCTCAGTCAGCTGTGGTGAAAAGAGAAGAGAGAAACGGAGACAGAGAGAGGTCAAGCTGGTGGCAGCCTCAGTGTCTGGCACTGTCACAGGAGGGTGGAGACAGAATATGTCATGCAACTGATTGAAAAATGACCAGAAGCAGATGATGCAGATATTTAGCAATTATTGAGGACATGCAGTACACACCCCTTTATAGAAACATTGTGCAAATATATCATTAGTTTGACCAAGAGCTTTGCAAAAGTACTCATAACCCTTGAATTTGTCTGCATCTTGCCAATTTACAATCACAACCCTCAATGTGTTTTATTACGACATTTATGTTAGATAACCACGAAGTAGTGCCTAGTTATGGAGTAAAGTAAAAGTAGCTATTTTGAGTTTTTCTTTCCAAATAAAAATCTGAAGTGTGGCATGTATAACATAATCCCTCTAAATCTGATAACCCTAAAAAAAAAAAAAAAAAGTTCAATCAGAAGTCACCTAATTATTAACAGAACCCAGACGTGAAGGGCGTTGGAGGCTTTTTTTTTTGTTTTTGAGAACATTATTGAACTAAAAGCTCTATGAACAACAAGGAACACAGCAGACAGGTCAGGAAGAAACTTATGAAGAGGTTTGAAGCAGGACTAGGTGATTAAACAACACCTGAAGCTTTTAGTATCTCACACAGCACTGCTGGTTTACCAAGTGAAAGGTGGTTCTCAAACATATTAACCCAGGGGACCTGAATACAAATGGATGCCACAGTTTTCAGATTAAAAAAAAAAAAAAAAAAAAAATAGGTGTAAAATTCTACACTTCTAAAACTTAGGTTCATAAAAGAAGTCTTACTGAGCTGCACTCCAATTTGCCTGTGAGCCCAATAAATAAATAAAAGCCACTCTTGTGCCTCATGAGAGATCACAGAGGGATTTTTTGTTCCGTGTGGGAAGATGCAAGGAAGTCAGTGTAGTGAAAGGCAAGATTTGTTCTCGACGGGGGGGTGGAGGGGGTGTCTCTCTGGAAGAGCATCCACAGTTCTGAGAAATGTTTAGCCTAATATTTTAATCTAACCACAGCAATAAAGCACAGCCCCGACGGCATTTAATACCAGGAAGTTTAACTTGTGGTGGTCGCAACTGGTTAGACAGAGGCGGCAGGTTGTGTGCCCTCGATTCAGACTGAAATAACGAGGGTTTTTTAAGTTGGTCAAAGAGCTGGAAGGAAGACAGGGGGGGGTATGGTGAGAAGACAGTGTGCCTCTTCTCTTATACTGCAGGACGCAACTTGCTGATAAGGCTCCTTGTCTTTGTAAAGACTGCGATGGAGATGAGTAGAGTTTGTTACTCTGCGTTTGCAGACTCGGGGATGTGTGTGCCCCACCTTACCTTGCTGGTTTCAAATATTAGATCCCGATCGCCCGCTGTGATCTTGAAGGTGTTGCTGTCAGATACACCGTAAGAGCAGATCTGGCCGTAAGGAAAGGACTCCAGGGCCTCCGATTCTCCCTGCTTGTAGATGGACACAGATGTAGCAGCGACACCCAGCCACAGTTTCTGAGAGAAATTCCCTTTTGAACTCTGCAAAACACACAAAAAGAATATTAAAAATGAGAGAATGCAGCAATTCCAGATGGGGAAACCTCAAGCGACTCCCATCATAAATACTCACAATGTAAAAGTCCACTTCGTAGAGAGTGCATCCAAAGCCCGACCACTGGCGTGCAATTGTGAGGTAGGCAGCCATACTGTCCCTGCTACTGTGCCCAGCCAGACCCTTCCAACGCTCCAAGATGGCCGTCGTCACCGCTGCCGCCTCCTCCTTCAGGCGGCTGCGCAGGCGCTTGTCGTTCTCCATCTTTTGCTTGTGTGCAACCGTGGCCGAGTGGCTCCACAGCGTCCCGGCCAGGAGGCCTGTAGGGAACCGCTGCGTGGCGGGACAGTCCTGACCCGCCACCTGACAGGGGGGCGCCGCCTGCGGGGCCGAGAGCGACATGAGCACCCGCGTTTCAAGCATGTGGCCGGGGAAAAGCTCGTCCAGAGGCGGGAAGGGGGCGTGCGTGCTGAAGTCGCCCATGAGGGTCTGAAGCCTGAGGGCCGCCAAGGCAAGCAGGTCCTCCTCGCATGCTGGGAGCTGACCGCGCACCACCATCTCATGGCACTGCAGCGGAAAGACCAGGAGAGACGGAAGGACACGGCTGTTACTAATAACCTGAATCCAATCATTTTTTTGGCCCACCCTGTTTTATTGCGCCTTATAAATCTTTTATAGGAGTCCTCAGGAAAAAAAAAAAAAATGCTGTAATGAAACTACCTTTCGACCCTACTGCACTGCAACCAGCACTCTTAGTCATACTTTTTATGCTTTCTATGTTCTCTCCTGCAATCACTAACTGTGACTCAATATTGTCCTGGAAAATCATGAATAATCCAACGGAGTAGGAAGAACAACTCGCTGCAGGGCTATAAATCACAACTCACTACTGGTCACTTATTAAGGGGACAGCAGAAAGAGAAAATACCCTTTTGGTTTATTGCAACATCACCTGCTCGAAGAGGAATAAATACTCGATGCTGTCCACTGATATGCCGTCAGCGTCCAACAGGCAGTAGAGCTTAAAACACAGTTTCCACTGGGATTGAGACTCCGACTCTTTGGTGGTGAAGCTGCACAGAGGTCAGAGGAAAAGGAGCAGTTAATGCAACGCAGTTGTAAAGACAGCTTGTCTTTAGCCTATCCTCACACAATTTGAGAGTATTTGTTGTAGAAACAATAATCAAATTAATCTTTCCTAGTTTCTTTCTGCAACTACTTGCACTTGTCCTTTTTCCAAGCAGGCTGTCAGGTTTGGCCAGAAAGAACAGAAAAGGTCAGATGGACTTAAAGACACAAGCAAGAATGTAGCATCTAATTAAAAGAAAAAAAAAAATTATATATATACATCAAAAGAAAAAAAAGCCTAAAAGTAAATCCACCTTACTGAGCCCATTTCTCTCAGCCAGCCTTCAGAATGAGAAAGACGAGTCCATGCCAGTCAAGTAAGATAAGAGTGTGTTGACCTTCGTGCATCAGCAAACGGCTACAAAAATAACTCCTCACCTAAACGTCTAGATATTTACAGTCAGACTATTCAAGTTTGAAACAACTTGAACTGTGTCACCTACGCGCTGTGAGCAGGACGGTTAGAACATCTTGGCAGCTCACTGAACTGTCACGAAGAGTCATCTTGAAGTCACCCAACTTTCCATAACAACCATTAGACTCTCTCTGCAGGCCAACCAGTTAGACGAGAAAGAGGTGCGAATTAAAAGTGTCTTCTTTCCTAACATCAAAAATGTACACTGGAGCTGTGCACTGTTGTCAGATCAGACTAAAACACAACAAATACCCTGGGTGAAAAGATACATATGTGGGAAAGTACTTTACATCCACCGTTAAGCATGGTGGAGGATCTGTGATGCTGTGGGTCACTTCTACTTCCAAAAATCCAAGAAAAATCTTAAGTGCACCACATTATGAATAGTTTGATATACTATGAGAGTGAAAATAAGAATCTGGATAAGAATCCAAAGTAAAGAAATGCATCGCCAGAACCAAAGTCAGCGTCTTTTCTTTGCCATTTCAATTTGAGACCTAAATTGAGATTGGTCAAACATCTCTCTGTGCGCTCCAAGACTGTAAAATATTATAGTTCAAGTGCCGTCCTACCGGTAAAAGGGAGTTGCACAAACGGGAGTGGTGCCAGTAAATAATATTCCAGTGATCTTGTATTGCATTGTAATACACAGTCTGCCTCTGCATTAGAGGCATTCTTGGTGTCACAGATAGCTTTGATTTGCGACAGATTTTTGGCACTGTCTGCTTTTTAAAACGTGAAAACCACAAATCCCTTGTCATACCTGGTCAGGACGTCGGCGATCAGAGAGTTCCCGGCGACCGGCTGCTCCCACAGTGCATTCTGCTCATACAGTGCAAATGTATTTTTGCTGTCTTGAAGGCCCAGCTTCTCTTGCATCCTTCGAACCACCTGATGACAGGCAGGGGAGAAGACCGTTTGGGGGAAAAAAAGTTTGGGGTTGTTGAGGCTCTGAATCCAAGGCGTGTCTTTCACAGTTTAAACAAAAACACGTGCAAGAATCTGAAGAGCTTTAGCCATACAAGCTGAACACTGATAAATGCTCCCAAACCTCGTTGGCAGTGGTGTGAGAGCTGATGTAGAGCTGGCAGGAGCCGGGTCCAGGGTAGTGCACGGTGCACAGCATCTCCTGTCGGTTCATCAGCATCTGGATCTCCTCCCACGATGGCACACACTCACGGCATTTTGTTTTTTCCAAAGCCTCACTGATGAACGACGCGTAGTTATCCATCTCGGATTCAGGACTCTGGCTCTGAATTCTGCAGGAAGCAGGAAAAGGATGAGCGAATGAAAATATGTTGCCTCTGTGCACATGCAATATAAACTACAACTCATGATTTAGAAAGAGAGGATTTGTTAATCCTGTTGATGTTAGGCCCAATCTTTGAACTTTTTATTCTTCCACATCATCCCTTTGATTGAGCTTCATTCTTTACCTTTCCTCGGTCTGGAAATGTTAAACGTAAATGAGGCGAGGAATGAGAAATGTTCTCACTCGACCTGTTAAAGACTTAAAAGAGTCAATATCACCCAGTCCTTGAAATAAAAGCATAATGGAAAAGAAAACATGTTTGGCTTTGGACTTTGGGAATAGGAAGAGGTGTTCCCGCTCCTGTGAGCGGCAGTGACCTGCTGCTTCATCCCAGCGGACTGTCCAGGAGTGCTAGGTGAAGCTCAGTGCGCGTTTAATTATGAAGAGAAAAAAAATGAAAGAAAGAAAAAAGGAGGGGATGGGGAAGAGGTGCACAAATATCAAATGGAGCCTGAAGTCTGACACTCTTTGTGAGCAATAAAGGGCGTGAAATATGGTGTAATGGAGCTAATAGTTCAGCCCTGTGTAAACAGAGAGGGACGGGAAAGGAAGGAAACAATAATGCTCAAGCATTCATCTAAAAATCGAAACGCGCATACGACCGAAAAATCTAAGAAACCGATTGCCAGACACAGAGAAGCACACTCATTCACTCCAATGTCCTGCCATCTCATAACTGTATGGCCACAGGGTGGGATTTGTCCTGCTGAAACATAATCAGGAATGTTCCGCTGAGCCTCTGCGATCCTTCCTTTACTCTCCTCTCTTTGGCCCTTTCTGCTGCTTCCTGCTTTCTTGCCCCCCTCCTGCTCTGCTTTCTTTCTCCTGGCCTATTCCCTCTGACAGCAGACATTCCCCGGGGGTTTCTCAGGGCACCGGGGGAGAGGGGGAGGAGGAGGAGTGGTTTTTGGGCCCGGTGCCCAGCTCCAGACTCAGCTCCTGCCCAGCTGCAGCCTCGGCGCTGATCCGCAGAGAGAGAAAGTGCGTGAGAGCGACGGCAAGACATATCAAAACACAGAGCCAGCGAGTTCCACAGTGTTATTATAAATTGCCATTGCATGCAACTGTTCCATTAGCTAGAGGGCAATTCCCAGTGTAGAAACATAGATAGAAAACGTTGGCGGTTTGATGGCACGGTGTTGGAAAGTCTAGAGCAGGAGGCTCAGCGCTGCTAACAACTTGGATAAGCAGGCTTGACAGAGGGGCTAATTCAGACCTGCAAATCCAGCCCTCGAACACTGTATCTGTCCTCGGGAGCATGCTAACAATGTGGAGCATATCATGCTACTATATCTAAACTAGTGGTTAGGGATACTGGCGCCTGCTTTTTGTCCAACGTCTAGACTCAGCAGTCTCCCTGCCACTACTGGTTCATCTTCATCTCCCAGCTAAACCTGTTCTGCATCGCAAGCTCCTCCCTGTCACCAACAACCAACTCCTGGCCTGATGTTGCATTCAGTTTAACGCGGCTCAGTCCAATGTAAAATCTGACGACTGGACTCTGTTACTTCAAACTGCCAATGCCAAACGAAATGTTCCTTTGTTTTCCCCTTTTCTTCAAGAAAACAACCTTTGCACAAAGATGAGTCAGAGGTAGAAAAATAAATATTTAAAAGAATCCCTTATTGTCCGCTTGAAAATGCAACAATTAAAAGATGAAAGTTGGTTTCTGCAAAAACATGTTCTAGAAAAAAAAGGGTCCTGATGTCGGTCCTTGGTAAGGTTTAAAAAGTTTCAATTTAAAACTCTTAAAAGTATTTTTTTCAAATCCTTCTAATGACAGAAAAAGTGCCATTCTGGCCTCAGTTTTTTCCAGTTGCATGTGTCTTGGGTTGTTTTGGATGCCGGGGCTCTGAATGACGTTACGGTAGAGTTGAGACCGGAGCATTCAGAAAGGAAAACATTTCGTGCATTCAAACAAAATGAACATGTTCGCAAACACATATTTTACAGTATCATGTCTGCCACTAATTTAATAAAATACAAGTGCCAATAAATGCTGTAGCAATATTCTATATTTGTACAGCTGCTATGTTGGACGGAGGACTTGGAGATTGTTGGTGAGCTTCAAGTGTCCCAGTCAAAAATCAGAGGACTTCAGAGGAATTCTAACTAGAAACTCGTAAAATCTGAGTATAAACAGAATCGCTCACCATTGTCCAAACCCACGACACTCCACTGCTTTAAAGCCTCAGTTAGGAAGCTACAAGTCTGACTGGAGGCTTGCTAGAAGAGCAGATAGCCTGACTGGCAACTAATATCAACATGCTGTACTGTGTTAATACTAACACCTAAAACTATTAAATTTAGTGTGTTTATTTGAAATTGTAACATTGTTATGTATGCGATATTTTAGTTTTGATTATTTTGCATCAGGTACAACTTCTGCTCATCGGTTATCAGATCACACTCAAAATGCCAATGAGAATCTCATGCCAGTCCATGCATGTTCTTAATTTTCCAAATGTATGTAACAAAACGGCTTCTAATATATTCTAATAGAGTGAGCCTTTGAGTAGCTCTTACCTTTTGAGGTGGAACCTCAGGTATTTGAGCACGGTGGACCCCGGCAGAAAGGTGCAGCTCATGCAGGTGAGGAGCTGCCAGTAACGGAGATGCGCAGCAGTGTTCGGGGAAGGCGTGTGGCTGGTCTGCTTCACGAGCTGACAGTAGACCTCGTCACGGAGGGGCCGCAGGTCCAGGCAGGTCTGCAGCACACCCTGGATGATTGGAACCGGCTCCCGCGCCGACTCCAGCTGCTGCAGGCAGTTGAAGAGCTTCACCGCCTCCTCACGCACCGAGCCGTAGCCCTTCCCATTGTGGTCTGAAGAGATACGATTGCATGGTACAGATACTAAAATGAAACAGTAGTGATTGTCGTGTTTGACGAGTAAATCTTCAGGTACTCACATGTGTGCTCCAGATTGCCGTAAGGGAAAGGAAGCAGAGGAGCATAGAGGGGGCCCTGGGTGTATTTAAGAATGGTGTTATGTTGGTAGATGTGCTCCACCACCTCCGGGTTGAACTTATTCTCCTGTGTGCAAACAAACAAACAAACAAACAAAAAAATCGACCACTGTACAATATCATATTCATTCCGTGTTCGTGAGATCAGTCGGGAGGGCTGTCAGCATCTGTGATTTAAACGCATGCTTTCGTCCGTCTGAGGTGACCAAGGTTGATCTGACCAGGGTCACAATTCGGCTCTGGCAGCTTTCAAAAGCAACAGGAAGGTCAAGTGATGACCCAGCACAGCACACTTGCATGACTGACACGTTATACTTTATCCGCCGGTGTCAATGGGTTGACTGTGCGTGCATTTCTGTCTTTCACTGTGTATGTGGATAGATGCCTTCCAGCAGTACAGATGGCTTCCACGCTACTGCCCCCGAACACCTGTTGCTCATTAGTAACGTTGCAACGGCTCTGGCTCTCTCCTGACTCTGCAACTATTCCAATTCCTCCATTTTTTTTCTCTCTCTCTCTCTCTCTCTCTCTGTCTGTCTCTCTCTCTCTAGGTCTGCCTCACTGTGAAGCGAGTCAGCTCTACCCTTCTTAGTGTGGCAAATTTAACAGTCTTCCGTTTGTGCTGTGGGAATGAGATGCTGCTCTGTGGCGAAATCAGCAACTCAGCTGTTTTTCACAGGAAATGAAGATAATAATGATAGAGTTAGATCTAGAAAGTCGCACTTTTTAACTAAGAATGTAAGAAAACACACTTGAGTCTTGCAAAAGTTAGGCTAAATGCAGCAAAAATAACTTTACACATGACACATTACAGCCACAAAATTCAAAGTATTCTATCGGAACTGGGCGAGAAGCTTTTGGAAAACATTTAAAAGCACATGCATCGTTTTCGTTCCACTTCACAACTATAGACAACTTTGTGTCGATCCAACACATGCAGCTTCAATAAAACACATCTAAGTTTCTGAGTGAAATGTGAAGAAGTGTCATATATGTACTGGAAGGTTTATTGTAAACAAATTTGGGGCTAATAAGTGATCGTCATGGTTTGAAACCAGTTTGGAAAAATACTCAACAACATCTATCACAGACAAACACAAACCTAAGTCACTTCAAAGCTGCCAGTACTTTTAAGGAAAATGCTGATTGCTCCAACATACACAAATAAAGCTCTGGCAAAGTTTTTTGGATTCTTTCATTGTCCGAAAAGTAATTCAGACTTTCCATGATCAAAAGCGAATGTTTTTTAAGTGAACTTTCAAAATGGTGTTGATTATCTCGATTCTTTTAGTCCAATTGCACATTTTTTTCCTTTGCTGCGTTGGTTATGCTTCAAACCTTTTTCTAATTTAAATTTTTCTCGTTTTTCACTCACGCTCTGCTTTCAATCTGCTAAACAGACGAAGGAAGAGACCTTTAAAAAGCAGGTTTCTTCTTTTCTTCCAAGTGTGAGCTCGGCCCCCTCTAGCTGAACACACAGTGATAGACACGGGCAAGTAGATTAACCACTTTCTTGAAGATTAGAGAGTCTCGTTGAGAGATTACGGACACAGGAGGCCAAGCAAAGGGCTGCTTATCTGGACCCAAAGCTTCTTGCCTTGCCCTGTTCCACCTCCTTTGCCAAAACCTGCCCCTTTTCTAGCCCCCAAGGATGGGCTGATGCAATAAAAGTTCCCTTTCTGCCAAATGAGATTCCAACACACACTATTCTCTTTCAACTCCTCTCAAATTGTATATAAAATACACTACATGCTTGGGAAAGTTATATTTAAATACCTGGAAATACCTTTATCGTTATGTTTGTGTATGCCGTCATCGTTTGATTACATGAAGAGTTTATTGAAAAGGGAAAAATAAGGGTCTAGAGTAAACTTTGGATTCCCAGAATGATGTGGCCGTGTGGTTTCCATGATAACAAAGCGGCTTGAATAATGAGCAGTCCGATGGCTGTTTGTGTTTGGTGGCTCTTATCACAAGTAGTTGGCAGGAATTGTGTGCATGCTTATGTATGTTTATCATGTGGCTCACCTCGATGTCTCGAATCAAAAGTTGTGTCGGCGTTTCCACTGGAGATTTGGTATCGATGATTTTTTGGATGGCGCAGGCCCAGTGCACTGCTTCATTGAAATGCTTGGTGTACAGCCTGTAGCAGTGCTTCCGTCCATAAACAGTAATGCTCCAGTAACCTGAAAACAACATGAGAAAGAAATTACACAAGTCTAACCTGAACCTGATCTTTGAGTGTAATTTAAGTTAAAAGGAAGTAGTCATGCACGGAAACATCTAGACTTTCTCTTACTCTCTTCAACTTCCTCTCACGGATTCACTGAGGATCAAAGGTCAGGCCAAGCAAAACCTCAAGCCACACCAAAACCAAACAAGAACAGTTTTTCTGCAGTAAATCTGGCCTTAGAGAAAAAAAAATGCAAAATCAATCTAAAAAAAAAAAAGAAGAAGAAGAACCTGCTTCCTGGTTTCTCAAAGGAAATATTAGATATAGCCTTTTACGCTAACAGCAGCTACATGGCTATTACGTGACTAAGCTTAGCTTCTAGATAAAGATACAAGCCACAAATTAAGCAAAGATAATCTTAAGTAAAGCTTTCTTGCAACTGCTTATTGACAAATTTCTCAGTGACTTACAGGAAACACAAAAGTATTAAAGTAGTTTTTGTGACACAGCCACTGTTGAAAGTATACTTCTGTACAAAAAAGTCCCTGGTGCAATGATTTAGCAAGAAACATGTTTTGGCTTGGATTTAAAGAACAAGTCAAGATGTTTCAAGTGGTTTTGGTTAAGTCAGCAGGACATAATCTCCTCCACTGAAGAACATCCAGGCAGACAGAGAGACTATGACAGTGACAAGAACAGGGTCATCCCAGTGTCACACAACAAAGAGTTGTCTTCTGAAATCTTTCATTCTTTTGTTTCGGTAATCTAAAAAAGGGAAATGGTGGACGGAGGCTTCCAATTCAGCCTTGAGTCATGTTTTTGGAAGAAAGTACTACTGGGATTTCCCAAAAGTACGTGTATGTGTCACAGTAGGGAAGGAAAAGGGCTCTAAAGACACATCTTTGAAGACAATACAAGGGAAAACTCCATCTAATGATTCCCGGTAAAGACTTGAAGCATGTCCGGCTTTACATACATTCTCGGAAACCACGCAAGACTGTTTCTGCCCATTTCTGTGCACTTTCTGAGCATAAACATACATTTCCTGAGCTCACCTGCTTCTTTGTAGGTTTGCTTGTCTGGCCAAATGACAGAGCAGAGACTGGTGAGGACCAGCGTGCCCAGTCTCCGAGCGCCTTTCTCTGGCCCGGTGTAGTAGTCGAGGGAATCCTGGCTCAGCACAAACCAGTACCGACGGTGCTTTATCCAGCTGCCACCAACCTCCCGTAAAAGCCAACCTTTTTTTTTTTTTTAAACAAAAAATAAACACCAGCATTATTTGACAAATTCAAAACAAATGAAAAAAGAAATCAACAAAACAATTAGAAGATTTGCTTACAGAATCAACAGTACTTGTTTGGGTTCAAGTTGTAGGTTTATATTTAATTCCCACACAAGAAACAGAGCACATTTACAAAAATAAGACACACACAAATATCGACAAAGATCTTATTACTTTCACTGAAGCAGCTTTAACTTCATTAAATTTCCATAAATTCTAACTTGTTTGGGTAAAAACTGGACCGTGGTTCTCAAACCAAAGTATAACTTCAACAAGTACCATATTGGCCGTTCTGGAAGTCTATTGGTGGGAAACAAAACTTTTGCACTTTGAACTCAAACTTTGTGGGATTTTTATACTTTCTTTTATGATAGTTATAGCTTACAATTAAAATCTTAAAACTCAGTTTCTCAGAAAATTTGATGAAATATACAACAGTTTAAGTCAGAAATGTTATGTTATTGGCAACACAATCATGAGAAAGACTGCTGATACAAAGTGCTTTATGCAGGCATTTTAATGGAAAATTGAGTGGAAGAAAAAAAGAAAAAGGGCAACAAAAAACAGGTGTAACCACAGACATGATACACAGTTTGCAATTAATCTATTGAGTTTTACTTGTTGGAATGAACTGCTGAAATAAATTAAAGGAGAATGCACATCTAGAGTGCTTTAGTGCATCTCATGAATTGACACATTAATTGGCAATTGAAGTGCACTTAGATAGAATACTGTATTAGTCTCCAGTCTTGAGGAATTTCATCAGGAGCTTCAGCTGTCCTCAATGCAACAAGTTTGAGAACATATCTTGGAGAGTGAAACGCTGACGAGGGGCAGACGATTTGATAGAAAATAGCACAATCACATTCAACGCATCTGATGTGCATCGTGTTCAACTTTTCAATGATATCCCAACCGAATAAGATGCATCCTGTATGGTGTATGCATCCTGTATGGTGTGGCGACACTTGGAAAGTGTAGTTACCGTTATAAAATGTTTCAGAACCACTGCACAAGTGGACGAAAATGCAAGCAGCTAATAGAACAGAGAGTAGTTGTTGCATGCAACCAACATAATTACCACTTTTGAGGCGGACAGAGTGAGAAGGAGAGAGTGTTACTAGAACACAGTGACAGAGAGGGAGACAAAGAGACTACAGCAGTCATGCTTGTAGACATGCCTTCTGTACTCGCCAGGCCCGTCTCTACAATGCAATACTGTTTTACTCCCAAAGCGCTGAGGGTTGGTTAAGACTGCAGCAAAACAGAACCACTGTTCCCAAACAGTGAACTTCTCCTCCCTTCGGCTATGTGTGCAAATCGTTCTTAATAAGTATTTAATCTGAGAACAGATAAATAAGTAAGTCTGGCAGAGCCCAATTCAAACTCTGCCTGTAGACAAACAGAAGTAGGCTGACCAGTTCTGGTAGCGGTTATGCTGTTGATCAAAGTTTATATGGAGGGCGACGGCTCTCCAGTGAGAGCACGGAGAGCCGTCGTAAGCCGCCCGGTGCAGGTCTAGGCGGTGTTTAGGAATGGCAGAGGAACAAATACATGACGGCTTCATGCGAGAGCACATGGCTCATTCAGCCCGTCTTGGGAATGCTTTTAAAAGGGACAATTAGGAAATAGACTTTCAGCCTCGAACCCTGTGAAAACTAATGACGCCACGATCAGCATCACGGCTTCCTCTGTGGTTAGCAAGCTGTGTGCCACCTGTCAGCCAGTGTTTATTTCGCCGGCATCTTTCTTCCTTCTGTACTTGCTCTCTTCCTATTTCCTTTCATCTTCTCCATTTCCCCTCTCTCCCAACTCTGAACCTTGATCCAGAGTTTTCCCAGGCAATACAAAGGTCCCACTGCTTTGGTGCTGCTCAGAAATAAAAATCTATTGACGGGTATACCTAGATTCCCGTTTAAGGATACCTCCGTATACGAAATGAGTGTATTTTGTATCTGTGTTAAAGCACCACAAATAGCTTAGGTAAAAAAAAAAAAAAAAAAAAAAATCTATTTTACACAGATGAAATCCAAATCAAATCCTAGCAGGAAATAAATAAAAATCATGAACTACAGCTGGGTTGTAGTTTACCAACGGACTGGATGTGGAACGGTGGAGACAGACAAGCTGTCTGGGCAAGAGCCAAGGAGAGAGGGGTACAACTGCCTTGCTGAGACCCCCTGCCCCCCTCTCCCGTCACAGAGACAGGATGTCCCACAGATGCAGTGCTTTTTGGCAACTTTAACCAGTGTGATTAGAAAAAAAAGCAGAGAAAGGAAAAGACAGAAAGGGCAGAAGAGTCCCCAGACCCCCTGTGTATAACCCTCTCAGGCTCTTCCATCTGGATCCCATCTCTGTAGCCTGCTAATGTTTCCCCTGAGGGCCACGGCTCGCCCTTAATTTGTTTCATTTGTGACCCCTGACCTCTCAGTGCCCTGCCCCCTCAAACATAGATTGAGAAAACAATCTCTCTCTGTGTATTTCCATTTTTTTCCCCCTCCAAACCTCCTACTGCTTCCAGAATACTGGATTTTTGTTCCACGAATTTAACAACGCATAATGTTACTGTAAAAAACAGTCATGCATTCAAATTGGTTTGACTAAGATATTCATTGGAATACGTTACAGGGGAAACATCTATGCCAGTTTTTTGGCACTTTATTAAACTTGGGAAACATTTTGCTTTTAAAAAATAAAATTAGAGGAAAAACTTCTGACTTGCCAACAAACAGCTGAAATAAATTCCTACTATTGACCAACAATAATGTTTTTTTTTGTTTGTTTTTGTTTTTTTTTAATGAAATTTGTAAGTGGCAAGACAAACTTTACATTTGTGCAAAATATGCTCACATAACTTTTTTCTTCTTTTGGATCAGACACATCCAGACTGCTAAGCTGCAGTTTACTGGAGCATGCAAAGCCATGCATCATGTGAGGAGTAATTTTAACCATAAATCAACAAAGGTATGTCAATAAACCAATGTCAACATCTCTTTCTGTCACCACTCCATGGGTTTTACAATTTATCCTCACACCATCAGTCTATATCTGCATTGGCAGTGCCCTATTTTAGATACTGGGGCAATATTCGCCCCACGTAGCCTCAGGATGTCTAGATGGGAAAAAAAAGAAGGCATAAACATGTACAGGAAGAGAAATGCACTAATGGAGGCCTTCTTCAAAATGAGCAGAATTATCAAACACCCTCAGGTGTCCCTCAGTGAAAATGTGTTTGCCGGTGCAGTCTAGTGATTTCTGATCAAGATTGCTATAGTGCAATGGTTGGAATTTCAAAAAAATGACAGAGGGAAAGGAACCTACTTCACCTCGCAAAAGTATTCAAACTTTTCTTATTTTATTAATTTATTTCAATTTAAAACTGCAAGCTGCAACGTATTAGGATGGGGTTTTGCATGCAAGGTAGTGAATTATCGTGAAGTGAAAGAGGAAGGAATGCAAGATAATCTCCATAAAACAGTGTTGACACAGATCTAGACTTTGCCGAGGTTATTTAATGACAAACTGTGCTTTAATCTAAATTATTCCCTTGTAGCTCTGTTTGGCTGTATCTGGTTTAAATCCTTATGCATCCCGTAACAATTATTTTCATCATCGTCTCCCTTGTCCCAAAGCGTGAAGCTGCCACTACCACAGTCACCATGGTGGTAAAATTTAGGTCAAAATTTAAGGGTGTTTTTACACCTGATAGTCTGATAGATTCGGTTTGCTTGAGTCTATTGCAAAATTGCAATGTTTGTCACATTATCAGGTTTGCGGTTTGCTTTCATGTTGCACTCTGCCAAACAAACCAAACCCTTTGAAAAATATTTTCACTGCTTCCTGCTTTCGAAGTGGTGTGGTCTCCTGTCCAGTTGGCATCCACGTGCGAATTTGAACCATGCTGGAGTTCAATTAAATTGAACCAAGACCAAAGTTTTTAGGCAGACCAGAGTTCCTACCGCCTCAAACGAACCAGACTTGCTAAGCAAACAGTTTGATTGAAGGGGACTAAACAGGGTTGATGTGAATGCATGCACCCTAATTCTCCATTTACTAATTAGGGAACTTCTGAAAGCAAATGGCTATAAGTGATTTTATGCAAGGTGTGTAAGAAAAAAGGGGGCATGATTCATATACAAATCTTCTAGATACGAAAAAGTTGCATTGTTTTCCTTCGTCTTCACAGCTAATGGTTCAATTAAACACAATGACGTTTGCATCTCCAAGGTGACACAATGTCTAAAAGTTCAAGGGGCGTGCATACTTTTACAAGGAAATGTTTTAAAGAAAACCCAACAGTGAGAAATGAAGGGTGCGTAAAGAGGAGGGCAAGTCGAAGATGCATGGCAACTGTAGTCAGAATTAGGCAATCTGCTTGTGTCACTATTCCAAACAGGACACAACATATCCAAGCAACAACATTTTACTGCTCCCTCTCAGCAGAGGTAAAAGAGAAAACATATTTGTACAGGAATATCTCATGAGATCATTAATCAAAAGTGGTAGACATGAAGACAAGACCAACTGATGCCAGTAGTTCTCATAACATGAACACAGGAAGAGAGGCAAAGACAGACAGTTTGGATCATGAAACACCTTCTACAGTAAAGTACAAGAAAAATCCTAACCTGGCACATTTAGGTGTTTCTACTATTTAGGGTTGCAGGTTTTTTATCTTGTAAAATGTAAAAATGAAATATGTGATTTAGTTCATCAAAACATCCAGGAGTTTTTTTCTGAAGTTTCGTCCGTCAGGAATTCAGTTAGCATCAACGTGATACAAAGAAGATATGTAAGAGATTTGATTATGAAATCACTTGAACACATTGTGTATTTCACAACTGAATTCACTGATGATGATTAAAGAGTAAAGTAATAACTTCAGACTCACCTTTTACTATCAGATCTGGCTCTTCATCCACCCCCATCCCATACTCCTCATTGGTCGGTTTCTTCATTTTTACAGGTGACTGAGAGACAGTGTGCCTGTGCAGAAGAGCAGAAACAAAATGTAAATAACCCAGCTTCCCTCTCAACTCAAGCCTTCCTCTAAAACTGGCCGGCTACTGTAACTGGCTCAGAGACGCACTGCTGGCCGTGAGACCCAACTTCCAATCACCATGCCACTCTCTGCCAACTCAAAAGCCTGTCACATACTCTTAAGTGGAGAAGGTCAGACAGGGGGGATTGAAAGAAGTGCCACAAATATCCGGTGTCTCGTCTTTTCCCTTCTCATCCTCTCTCTTTCCCCCCCATTCCCCCCCCCACCACCACTCTCAGCACGCAATCCTGCGAACGCACATTGATGCACGGCAAGCCACTGTGGACAGCTCGAGTCTCTTTTATCACTTTGGCTGGCGAGCCAAACAGGCGACTGAAAATAAACGTGACAGGGCGACGCCGGGCTGACTCCCAGCCAGCCAGCTTGCGCCGGTCAGAGGAAGGCAAAAGGGTCAAGGGGTCACATCTTGGATAGTTAAAAGCATAAAGATCAAAAACATCTGTAAATCTGCTGAACGGCTGCTCCTTCTCTTGCTGATCTTCCAACCATCAAGCAGCTACCATAGATAGATTTTAACTTTAGCATCTGGTCTGGAATTGGCTGGTGAAAAGTTCATAAAAGTTCTAAAGTACATTTTCCAGATTTTTACTTGCAGTTTTGATGACTGTGTGGAAATTTGAGGACAAAATCTTTGCAAAGTTAGGTTTCATTATCAGTTTTGTCATAAACCAAGAAATGAGACATAGCAGGAACAAGCTTTTAATACAGCAGTGTGGTAGTTTTTGTTGTGTTTTGTTCCCGCCCCCCCCAATGACATCTCTAATACACGGAAAAACTTTAACTGGATTGTCATAGATTAAAATATACATCCTTCATATGAGAGTTAACCTTAAATTTCATGGAAGTCCACAACTGGAATTTCCGTACTTTGTGTGGCATCTCAACTGAACACATTTCAAGAAGCTTGGGTCCAGATACAAACTCAGACATAAAATGGCCTTGAGGTCAAAAATGCAGTGGCATGACTCTTTTCTGGTTTTTTATTGAGTGTATGTCTGGTTGTTGGTGACAAAAACCAAAATGATCAGTGAGTTAGACAGGAACGAGCACTTTTTTCGTGGTAAACTAAAGACAAACGTCCACATTTAAATATAAAAGCAGGAAAAAAGTTTCAGGATTTTGTAGAAAATCTGTATAAATTCCATAGTTTTCAAGACTGAATAGGAACCTTGTAGTTACGTAAGAATAAGGCCAGTTTTCAGTCTATTAGACTGCTGAGAGGTTTTATCTCTCTTCGTTTATTTATCTAATAAGTTGTTTATTTTCTCCATTTCCTGGGCCGAAATGTGAGGTTCAAGACTTCCTGTCCTCCTCCCCCTCTGACCGCCTCCTGGGATTACTGACGAGACAAATAAATTGGGCCCTGCTTCCCAGAGTTATTGGCCTCCAGTCACCCAAGCCTTCATCAGCTGATTTATGTGACTATCGATCAGATAAGTGCAGAGGGTTCCTCCACACGGAAGGCGGTGGTAATCAATAAATCCCAATATTGCCTTATCTGCTTAGACTCATCTTACTGAAGACTGCTGAAGTCATTTCTCAGATGATTCCCAAAGATGTCTCTTTATAATGTTTAATTTGCAGATGGTTGTTCCAGTACAGAGACTAATGTTCAGATGATAAAACGTGTAGAGCCACAAAATGTTCCATAATACGGGTGGGGGGGGAAATCTATATTATTCATGACACAAAAGCAGAACCGAGAGCGATTCGGGGCTTAGTCACCTCAGGTCATATGGTATCACTACACCAGTTTCTTTGATGCAGTGGTGAACTGCTGGGTATGCTTAAATGCATTAAAATAAACACTGAAATGTGACGACATCTCTTATTTTGGGTTGTTTATGAGCCCTGTTGCATAGCAGAGACAGCCAGACAGCTCAAACTGGATGCAGACAGTATGTATAGAAACACTCCCTGAGGGGAGTTTGTGGTCTGGCATTCAAAGTGCCCATGTTGAAGCTGAATCTCTTGACTGGTGTTTGCTACTGTTACAATGCCAAAATAGCAATTTAGCACACACAAATAAACTAATTTACTGAGGAGAAGCCTCTGGAGATGCATCATCACTAGAGTGCCAGAAGCTTTTGAGATATCAAGTAACTAATGAAGGGTGAGTTCAAAGAAGGTAACGCCTAAATGACTCTCATGCTAGAGTTTCAAGCAGAAATAAGTAACGTAAAGTAGCGAGAAATGAACAGATTAATCCGCACCAATCTGTGATGGTGAAAAAGAAGCTAACCAAAACAGAAAAGCTAGTCCTGTCTATAACTTACAACCCTCACCTTCTTTATGATAAAGACATCTGGACTATTTCGGGAAATAAGGATTTTTCTAAATATTTTACCTGGATGTAAGCAAGTTCATCTTTCTAAGTCAAATTTGCTTTTCCTTATGGAAATATTGAGGGATAAAACAGGAAAATAATGAGGGGTTGTGGGAAGGATATAGGAGAGAAAAAAAAAACACTTCATCAAGTCCCAGTTTCAACCGTTAACAGGACAACATGTTTGGCTTTTAAACTGAGTGCTGCTTGTTAGTCTGCCTTAGTATTGTATCCAAAAAACAAAAAAAAAAGTCAAGGCTAATGTCCAATAACCTTTACGGAGACTGCTTGTTAATGTGGAAAATCAGCTAAGTACCACAAATTGCTGTTTTTGTTGTCAGCATCACTTAGCAGACAGGAGTCATTCAATGTTATTTTAAGATAAACTCATTTGTGACTGTTTCCTTACAAAATACACTGAAAAAGAGACAGAAATAACATTCAAACATTTTAAAAAGAAATGAAGTTGCATTGGCCATCGGTACAATGATGAAAATCAGATAACTCTTTAAAGGTGTAGTTTTTCTAGGTGCTGCTTTCACAAACCTAGCAACAAAAGTTCGTAAATGGGTTTTGTGAGCGTAATCAACATCAGTGAAAAGGTTTTTGCAGATTTCTTTTTTGATCATGCATGTTTCAAACAAATTTTACAAACACAGAATTTAGTTTTCATGTGATGATTTCATCAATTGGATATAAAAGCTATTCAAATCAAATTAGTCCTATGTGGGATTAGAGTGCTTATAATTGCCCCACTTGTCACCAAGGCAAAATAATTGAGAAACTAAGATAATGACATCTGTCAGTCTTGAAAGGGTCACAAAGACATTTCTAAGGCATTGAGACGCCAGCCAGAGAGAGTCAATATCCACAAATGGAGAAACTATTAAGCAGTGGTAAACCCTATATGAAGTGGTAGGTCTACCAAAATTGCCATAGGAACAGACTGATTACTCACCCAGGAAGTCACAAAAGAAACCAGAACAATATCTAAAGCACTGCAAAGCCTCACTTACCTCCGTTATAGTCACTATTAAAGATTCAATTAAACCAAACCAAACAAAAACTCCATCCATGGGAGGGGAGAGAACCGCATGGATGGAGTGGTTATTATTATTCAACATTCTTGAAGTCTTTATTCAAGACTATTGAATCTTAAATAAAGATTCAGTAATCTTTACTCAGGATTACTGAGTAAAGATTCAATTGCAACAAACCAAACAAAAACTACATCCATGGGAGACAGCCACGGTGGAAACCACTGCCGAGCAGAGAGAACAGTTTTACAATTATCAGAAATAATAACAGTGGGAATATTTTCCCACTGTTTTGGGAAAATATTCTGTGCTCTTATGACTAAAGCGGTACTATTTGGGAGGTGTACTTCTGATTACATCTGTTGATAACATTAAAAACAAAAGTATTTCAGAAAAAAATACAATACCCACAGTCAAAAATGGTGGCGGTAACGTGATGGTTTGTGACTGCTTCACCAAAGTGATAGACGCCATGTTAAAACAAAGAAGGGCCAAAATCCCTCCACAACATACAAACAGTTGTGGTCATGATGGGCGATACAGCCATGAGGTTTATGAGGCAATTACTATTTCACATTGCTCCAGGTTTGTCTGAATAGCTTTTTGACATCCTGAAGCCTAAAGCTGCAGTAACCTTAATAAACAATATGTTTGTAAAATATCTGTTAAACATGTGACCGATAATCTGAGACATATAATCTGTAAAAAAAAAAAAAAAAAAAAAAAAAAAAAAAAACACCCCCAGAATATAAAAAACAATGGTCATCTGCAGAAATACGCCACTCCCAGTCAAAAACAACCAATCAGGAGAAGGAGGATGGTCTTAATGTTGTCAATCACTCGCATGTATGTGTTGTTCACTTCCACTTGCTTTCTGCTATGCTACAGCTGGTTCACCAGACCAGAGCAAGCTATGAATGCTTAGACTAGTTAGCATGGCTACTAGTGGGGGATAAACAGTTTTCCTATAAGTAAGTTAATATGACATTGGGATATTGAGCACCGCATACATGAGCCTGATTGACAGAGCTAAGACCCTGATCCTGGCTCTGACTGGTTGCTTCTGACTGGGCATGATGCATTTCTGCAGATGGCTGCAGGACCACAGGGAAAAGGCAGAGGAGCTAGCTTTTTTCACAAATTATCTGCCTCATGTTATATTGTCTGGAAAAACAATTTTGTTGAAAAGTTACATACCGTAGTATATAAATAAATCAAATAAGACTCTTTCTATCCCCATCGCATCTTATTCTGATATTAAAGTTTGTTTCAGCATCTGAAAAATAAAAGTGTGAAAGATGCAAAGCAGAAAAAAATCTGTAAGGGAGCAAATACTTTTCACAGCACTATACAGCATGTAATAAAAAACAGTCCTAAAGCTTAGAGCGAGCATTTGAGCATAATTGATGCGGGGGCTTTGCATCTCCACAGCTGTCCAACAGCCCCACTACCCCAATCTAACCTCCAACATCTACTGCTACCACCCCCACATTCCCAGAAGCTCCAGCAGAGGTTGTGGTGACGAGGCCTTCAGCAGGCAACTTCCTGTGGAGTGCAGGAAACAATTTGATATGGGGATTAGGCAGCATGGAGA